GAGGTGGGGGGGGGGGGGGGGGGGGTGAGTGCAAACATTCACATAAAGCAGCATTTATATACATTACGACGAACAACGGTCTTTATTCTCTCCGTCGATTGTGTCGGGCTTTGTACGTATATATAATGTGCCGTTCAAATCACTCATCGCAGGGGAGGAATGACGTCCCTCATTGCCTCACTCTGTCAGAATAAGGATGGGCTTGTGCTCTGTGGCTGGGCTGATGTGTCCTGGGGGAAATCCTGGCATCGTGCCAACTGAGTGATTGTGGGGGTGGGGCGGGGTGGGAATACTGGGAATGCCTGTGTACCACATAGGATGCAAGGATGACGTCATTGCGGGATAGACAGACAGTGGCGTGAGTCCCAGTCCAGCTGGAGCAGCAGGGGGTGCCCACATCTAACCCAGATCCTTTGTGTTACCCCTCAAAACATACAAACCCCCCCTCCCCCAGTTTACAGTATAACCATCCTGCTGCAGACAGCCCTTCAACCCCATTGCTCCAGTCTCACCAAACCGGCCCCTCCTCCAGACAGGCAAGGGACCCTAATTATACCCTTACCAATAATAAATCCCTGCTGCTTCCACACAATGGGCCCTAAGGAGTCGTGCAGGCAGCAGAGGAAACACCTTCTCTTATCAAGGCAGGGCACAAATAGCCGGATACTGGAGTCTGTTTCCTACATACCCTCAGTCAAAAACACACACAAACATACGTACAGACACACACACATACAGCATGTATGCAGGCATATAGACGATTACTTCCTCTAGATGCTTTCCCATATGTACCGCAACCTGTAAAAGTACTTTCAAAGTCCTGTCTGAGCATCATATCAGGAAGGAAATTAAATAAATGAAGAGTATGGAATGCAAATAACAAAAACACAGGAAAAAACAACAAACCGGAAGACAAAAAACTATGACTGAATATGGACGTCGCACAAAGAATAACATTAATTTACAAGCTAGGAAAGTTTTTTTTTTTTTTAATCTATAACAGACTTTTCAAAACTAACTCACACTTTTAGCTTCAATGCCACAAATCTTGAGATAAAAATGAGCAATAGGGAACTAATTTAAGGAGAAGGTCGAAGGTTAAGAGAGGACGAACATCCTGTGACAACCACGCGGATGTACAGCTTTTCTTTGGTGTCGTTCCTTTTATGGATTGTGTGTATTTTGGGAATTTCTGTAATGCTCCTGCGTCTTCTTTCCCCACTGACCAAATTAATTTCCTTCTTTCGATAATAAAGTTAAATTTAATTTGATTTGATTTGATTTGACGTGAGTGACTGTGTTATGGCTATCATGTGTGGAAAATGCTTCTCCAGGATTTAACTATTCCCTGCAGAGGTTTCTGTTTACTCTCCAATCAGTTTCACTGTCAGTCCCTCCCTGTCAATTACAGCACTAAGACAAATGGCCAACAACAAGGCCCTGGAGAATAGCTGGGGACCTCCCATCAACACTTGCAGTGCAGAGGAATGCTGACTTGGACATAGCACAAGGGCGGAAATGGGAACTCACACTTAAAGATACTGTTATTCAGAGTAAAAAGCCACCAATAAATCACTTTTTAAAATCAATAAGTCGCTCTTAAATCAAGAAGATGGCCACAAACCCCCCACACTCGAGCACTAGAGTTAAAAGGAAATGTATGAATGGGACAAGTAGCTTTTGTTTGTCTAATCTGCTCTATAACCCCTTACATACCAGCTGACACTTCAACTATTAACAGTAGTTCAGCCATCACTGCTGCTTCAACTTTTAAAGTGAAAATTTACTTGCTTTCAGAGTTTACAGTTCAACTGATATTTTTTTTTCTTATTTTACACCTCAACTGCTTTTACGGTTAAGACATCTACTGACATTTCAGCTACTTCCATCTGTTATATTTTGACTGACAGTTCAACTACTTTTAGAGCTTAAACTTACAATTCAACTGCCTTAAATGTTCAAATGCTAAAGGCAATTCAACTGACTTCAACTATCTGCTCCAGAGTTTGAGAACCGAGTAAACTGTAAACGGTTCAACTGCTTTCATCTCTTACACCTCAACTAACAGTCGAGACATCTACTTACATTTTAGCTCTTAAACTCACACTTCTCTTGCTTTCAGCTCTTGATCTACTTTTTAGCATTTACACAAAAACAGACAATTCAACTTCCTACAGTGAAGCTTAAAACTGATGTCTAACACTTCAACTATTAACGCTGTAAACATTATTTTAATTGCTTTATGGGTTAAAAACTCCACCGACAGTTCAACTGCTTTCATAGGTGGTGCATCTGCTGCTATTTCAGCTCTTATTGTGAAGTTCACAGTTACCTACCTACCAACTACCTACAGTGCTTGAACTGTAATTTCTTACAGTTCAAATGCTTTCGGCTCCTGCATTTGAAACAGACACTTCAAATTCTTTCAGTTCTTCAACAAACACACACAAATATTTAAAGACATTTCCAGACCTGTGGAGATGTGCCACTGTGCAACTTTCAAGCGAGCACTTGAATTTTCTTCAGTAAATTTTGCCTTTCTTAGGATCTTTTTAAATTAAAGAGTCGTGACAAACCTTTAAACACCTTTACAAGATGTTTAAACAGAGTCTAAATGGAACCAGCAGGGGATTAACCTGTCTGTTCTGAGTCTGTGTGTGATTTATTTCCTCCTAAATTTGAGGATATCCATATACCTCCTGACACCTCTACAGAGTTAAAAATACTGCTAGTGTGTCATCAATGTTGTGCATTTAGTGTGTGTGTGTGTGTATGTCCATGTCCTTGACTGACTCATGAACACGACACACCTCCAGACAGATTTGAAAAGCCAGCATATGAATGGAAACAGACGTCAGAGCCTCTGCAGTATGCCCTCATTCCTCTGTACGTGAGTCCGTCTGTGTGTAGTAACAAAGTCCACTGTTTAACAGCTCCCTGTTTTAGAGGGCAGTTGTTATTGTAAGAGGGGTGAGCCTGTCTGTCTGTATTACGTGTTGTGGGAGTTACAGAGTGGGGGAGGTGGAGGGGATCTGCTTCTGGCCCAGATGTTTATACCCCCTGCTCCAAGCAATATCCTTATTATCTTTCATATAGCCCCGACCACGGGAATTAAGCCAGGAAATCTGCATTTAGGTTGACATTTTTAGATGCATGCAAAGATTTAATAAAACTACTGATGAATAAAAATGATGCAACGACTGCACTGCAGTTCTTCGTCTCTCAAAATAGTAAACGTGTGGGCACAAATGAGGCGACAGAAATGCCACCAAGTCTTCCTCTACCTCATTACGGCAACAACCCCGGGGTAAATGCACCCACTTACGTAAACAAACAAGCTCCTGTTCACAGGGAAGTCTCTCCGGATATTCACATCTACATTGTCAACATTGATGACGGTGTGCCAAATCCTTTTAGCCAATTCTCTCACGACAGCCTGCTATTTGCCTCACTCTAATGCACACAACAAAGGATTCCCCTGTGGTTTGATGTAAACGGTGGGACAGCTTTGGGGGAAATCACTGCTGAAGACTTGTAGTACATCTCACATTACACTTCTGTGTCTGTCTGTTTTTTGTGGTTAACCTACTAAGAGATATCTCAAATCAAGTACTTCTAGTAAATCAGGATTTCCCCTATCGCCTGACACAAAGACCTCCTCGCTTTAATATTACTAAAAACATTACAAAATAGAACATCGTCGGGATACAAGAGGAGGATCAGAATCAGGATACATTACCACCTTAGGTAAACAATTTCCTGGGGGAATCAATCCCTTCTGAATCCCAATGATGAGCTCCATCCATGGGCTTGGATGGAGCTCATCTTGGAAGTTAATGGAGCCCAAAAAAAGTCAGCAACCACGACAGATGACTGCGACAGGCTCAGACGATTCGATCGTGTAATAGAAAAAGACATTTTGAATGGATTTGCTTTGAACATTTTTGGGGAAAATTAGATTTTTCATATGAGGACATTATTGAAATCACGTTCAATAAAGATAAATGTCCAGCATTCATATTAAATACTGCCTGACAGGCGATGTTACTGCAGGAACAGCAAGCTCCAGACGAGAGGATGAAAAAGAAAAAAGAAAACAGCGCTGGTCAGAGGTCATGATCACCAAAACCATATGATACCTGCACGACTGTAAGCTGCTTAACTTAATTTGTAAATTCCTGGTCTAAGCTCTTCAGTCTGCGGTTGGCTTCTCTGATTGCATTGTCAATATGGTTTAAATCACTGAGACAGCCTGCTGCTGACTCTTCTTTGTGATTTAGCCTCAGTGTTTACAAGTGCTTGGTTTCACTGATGTGACTGAACATTAACCAGGAGAGGAGACAAAACTCAGCAGTGTTTCTGGTGATTTTGGAGAGGTCTGCGTATGCACATCAATCAACTCAACCCACAAAAAACATGTTGTTAGAGGCTTGCTCTTGTGATAAGATGTGAGGAAACACGATAACGTGTGTAGAAATGAGTGCCTGAAACTGTGCACTGCACCACCTGATGCGCATGAACACAACCTCAGCTGTGGCACTCCACCCACCTCTGCACAGTTAAGTTGATTTGCAGCCAGGAAATTACCAAACGGGCTCAAGTGCACAAAAACGGCCAGCAAAAATGGCATTAGGACAGCATTAGCGCTAGCACTGGCATGAAATTAAGGCGCAGCATCTCATCTAAACTTTATACTCAAGGCATGAGTAAGTGATTTAGGTGCTTTTACCTCACTAAATGGGAAAAGCATTTAAATTGTGAATGGCTCATGCTTTCTGATTTAATAAGGTCAGATATATATATACACTTTATGTAGGACTGGGTCCAGCCATAACGCATGTCATAGCTGCAAA